GCGAGGTGGTGGGCGCCTGTAGTCCCAGCTACTCGGGAGGCTGAGGCAGGAGAATGGCGTAAACCCGGGAGGCGAAGCTTGCAGTGAGCTGAGATTTGGCCACTCCACTCCAGCCTGGGCGACAGAGCGAGACTCAGTCTCAAAAAAAAGAAAAAGAAAAAAAAAAGAAAAGAAATATCTATCAGGCACTGTATTAGGTGTTGGAGATACTGAAATGTACAAGACAGGCACGGCCCCTTTTCTCAGAGAGTTCAAAGTCTAGCGGGAGAAACAGATAGTAAACAGGCAATTACAGGCAGACAGAGCTTGAAAATAGGATAACAGTACCTACCTTACAAGGATGTTGTGAAATTAAATGAGATAACCCACGTAGAGTTTTATTAGGGCTTGGCATAGAGTAAGCCCTCTAAAAATGATAAATATTTTTCTTGCTTCTGATAGTGAAGTTAAAATGCAGGGCTCTGTGAAAGGGAAGTGTAAAGAGATTTCTTCCAGGTTGGAGCCTAGGGAGTCGCAAAGACCGCCTGAAGAAATCACAAGAGATCTAAAGAATATTTAGCTTGAGGAGGAGAGAGGAGAAGAAAAAAATAGCAACTGGGTAGCAGTTCAGTTTCACCACTTTACAGCCTATGAAGTCTTTGGCTTCCCTCATCCGGTTCGATCTTCAAAGCAACCTAATCAGACCAGCGTCTAGATTTAATATTTCCATTTTACATAAGAGGAAGCTGAGACACAGCGGGGAAAAGGACTTTTCAGTCATAAAGTAAGGAAGCCAATCTTTATGGTCTATTATGTGTGGGAAAAAAGAACAAACATCGCGGGGCGTTCATCAAATACTAAGTTATGAACGTGGAACAAAGTCCAAGAGTTAAGGAGAGCGAGGCACCACTTCTACGGGTGGGCCGGGTAGGTTTCCTGGGGGAGCTGGCATTGGAACAGGCTTCTTCGCCTGCGTGGTGTCAAGACCCCGAGGGTCTTACCTCTCTCCCTCAGGAGGGTGGGCGGGTTCGTTCAGGAAGTAGCCGCTTCCGGAAGCCTCAGGCGAGGTTCTTCGGGCGAAAGACCAGTCACGACCCGGGAGCCTCAATCTCCGCTGGCCTGGAGCTTTGGTTTCCATAGCAATGGTCTCGTCGCAGAAAGGAATCGCCTGTGCTGGGTCTTCAGAGAAATCCTGGCCTCCGCTCCACGCCCCTGAGCAGCCCCACCCTGGCTCAACTGGTTACCCGCCCTGCCGGCAAGCCGGGGTCACTGCAGTCCCCGTGGCGAAGCAGGGTCAGCTCAGCTCACCGCACCCTACTCCATCCAGCCCTGCCCATCTCTACGGCAACGGGCCAGGTCGCACCAGGGCTGCAGCCGAGGGACAATCTCGCCGCTTCCGTAGCCGCCCAGGCTCTGTGCGCATGTGCGACACCCTCTCCCCGCCCACGCCCCCTTATGCTTCTCCCAGGCAACCAGCCGCGCACGGCTCCAGGCTCCGCCCAGGGACTAATTCCAGGTCTGCGTGAGTCCAACGAACATGGCTCCCAACCGGCCTCCGCGCGCCCAACGAACATGGTTCCCAACCGGCCTCCGCGCGCCCAACAAGCATGGTTCCCAACCGACCTCCAGTTTCCAACTGTTTCTTTAACAGGAAGGCCACCATGACACAGCAGACTACGCCCTGGGTCACAGGGGACCTGAGATCCTCCACGATTTACAAGACCGGCGCCACCTCGGACTCGAACCACCCGCTCGATAGGGCCGCGGCTAAGTAATCGGCGTAGGGGTTCAGCCACAGATCTACTTTTCGCGCCGCACACCGCGCAGTCGTTGGTGCTCTTCGAACGCGGCCTGGGTGCCCAGAGCGTTCGTTAGACTCTCGGACCCGCAAGGGAGCCCGAACTCTCGGAGGACTCGCGCTCCCTCAGCCGGACTCCGGCCCTTTTTCAACTCCAGCGGAGTCTGGATTTCTCCTAGCCCCGGGCACCAGCCCCTTCCCAGTCTAGCTCTTCGGACTCCCTGAAGCCTGAACTCCATCACCCAGACTCCCGGGAGAACCCGGAATCCCCATCTCCCGTCCACATTTTCTCAGAATCAGTTCCGGCCGTTCAATCTCCCAGGCATGACATCCGTCGTGTGGTCCCAGCGCCCTAGGTGGTGAGCCCTGACTCTCCTTAGAGCCTGGAGAGGCCGAGGTCCTCCCAAGCTCGAACCCGACCCACACTCCTCAGCCTCTGTGTTCCCCAGTGATCCTGGAAAAGCCCACAGTTCCCTCTGCCTGGCCCTGATCCTCACAAACCTAGTTACCCATGCTCCTTTCCATTCCACAGCCCCCATCACTGCATCCTCCAGGCTCCCATCCATGGAGGACTTGAGGTGGAAAGCAATTTGGTTCAAAATGACCATTATTTATTACTTGAAAGAGAGTATTTCCAGTAGTTGCCAGCCTCCTCCCCTTCTAGTATTGGTAAATTTGTTGCGCCACTGAGTGGGTGCAGTTTTATGTGTCTTTAAATGTTTTTTTGTTTTTTTGTTTTTTTGTTTTTTTTTTTTTTTGAGATGGAGTCTTGCTCTGTAGCCCGGGCTGGAGTGCAGTGGCCAGATCTCAGCTCACTGCAAGCTCCGCCTCCCGGGTTCGCGCCATTCTCCTGCCTCAGCCTCC